GTTATGTTACAATCAATGTAGGTACTTTCTTGGCTAAGGACACGAATGGCTTATACCTAGCTGAAGAAAAAGTGCAACTGAGTTCTCACTTCAAAGACCTGCTAATGAGTTAGCGATATTAACTACGCAACTGTAAAAACAACATAAAGAACTTTATTCAGAAAACTTCTTCTCACTACTTCTCACCCTGTCTCTTCTCCCTGTGGTAGAGGCACTCTTGGACGATGTGTAGAGGACCCTCAATGCCCGCGATAGCGCGCTCTAACTGCCGGCGAGTGTCATTCAGCTTCTCGCACGTCGACACTAAACGCTCCATTTCTATTGAAACCTAGCATTTTCAAATATGTAGTAAAACTTTATTTATCAGGCGCTCATAAAAAACATGTGTTGGCTGAAAAGCTCCAAACCAAGTGATCTAATCTGGGAGTCTTAAAAGGTACTCGCCTCATTCCTCCAGAATGTAGTATCGGTAATTCGTTCACCAATCCTCCTACCAGAGTCCCTTTGTCCTTGTGTTCCGATTTCATCAGTTTCCCTGGAATAATCCAACAGTTAGATCCTTTTTCTCTTCCTGGGTTAGCCATATCTGTGCGATGTATTTATTACCTTAGCATCCTCATGATATCATTTCTCACGCGTTCGGAGAAGTTCCTCTTGGCATCAGATTCGTTGTAGTTCTTGATGCTGTTCTGGTTCCACTCATACTGTGTGTAGCGCGTGTAGAGAGCGGCGCGGGCGGCATGCTCAGGGCTTCGGTCGAACCCTGTCACCAGGTTGGGGAAGCGCAGCGGTTCTGCAGCCATGCCCGCCGGAGTATAGCACGGATCCACCATTGTATTTGTTATCGGCTGAGATGGCCTGAGAAAAAGATGATGAAGGAAAGTAAGTTTGCAGTTGCAGTTTAAGTGTCCATGGACGGCGCTGATCGCTTACTATCAGGTGATCCGTCTGCTCGTTTGCCTCCTATTCCATAAAAAAACCGACTTGTTTAGTTAAGTTTAATAGTCACTTAAGTACCTACCTACTGTGCCACTGTTTATACAGTTTTATATTAAGTGAGATAAAAAAAAAATCTTACATAGGGGTGACTTCAATTTCCTCGTAACCCATAATAGGTCTCCAAGGGTGCTTCTTTGGAGAATGAAAACAATAGCCCACTTGTGGGGGTACACTTGGAGCCCCAGCCGTTTCCTTTACTGGACTCCATTGTTGGAGTTGCTATAAAATAAAAAATGAATAGCATAAGTTCATGAAAAAATCATCTCAACTAATCTCAACAACGAGATTTATAAGAGATATTACCGTGCACATAGAAACTTCCTTAGCCATTTTGTAAGCTGTAGTAAACCGAAAGAATGATAATTTTGATAAAAAGCTTATTATTTCATCAAAAAGAAAAAATGAAAATTCAAAATTGAAAATTTCGTTACGTTTTGTCAGGTAACATAAAAAAATGACATCCCGATCCTGAAATTAGTACATAAATTTTAATGATTTTTGTGTAAACCTCCATAGGCCTTCTTCCTAGACCATTTTATTAAATTTACTGATCAATAGCAAAATAATAATTAACTATCGTTAAAGTGAGCCCTTAACATGTAATGTATTAAGGTTTGATCCCCGGCTGAGTTGAATAAGTGTTTTTGTAATAAGTTCTCAATAACAAGACATTTTTCTTAATTTATTCAACATTTGAAAAGACCGCCAATTTTTTAGTTATGGGTTATCAGGTTGTCCAACCTAAGCACACAAAATTTGACAGTATCAATGTCATTTGTCAGTGTCAATCACATTCTGATTTAGTTTTGTCAAAACTCAAAACAGTACTTGTCGTTGTGCTCTCGATTTAGTTTCAAGAATTTTAATTAAATTGTTATTGAAGGACATTTACGGTGTTTTATAATAGTTGCTGTTTAATCAGCCTTATGTCAATATGAGTGGGGTACCTGACAACGCGCCAGAACGTAAGTAATGAATCGGAATCTGAATCATAACCCTTGGACTTATTAGAATTTTAATTATTCTAATTGTTTGTTTATAGACTGTCCTGGGACACAAAGTGACGATGCTGGGAAGGCGTCAGCATGTGCTGGATGCCCTAACCAGAACATATGCGCATCAGGTTAGTACCAAAACATAAAGCAAGATTACGTCGGTTATTCGCATAAGTTTGTACCTGTTGCATGTAAGTATTACTGTTTATTTATTGCTATAATCTAATTATATTGGCTAGTTATTGCAGTAGAAAATCTCAAAAAGATTGTACTTGAATTGAAACTTAAATAAAGCAGTTAGTTACTATAATAAGTTCCATGTTATTTTTTACTTTGACTTGTAGACATATATTTTGTTGTTTGTCATGACTAGTTTGGCCTTATTGCTTGACACTATATGGCTATAGTAGAGTTCTTATAATAACTGCTGAAAGTAATGATTTAGCTTTTTACGCTTTTGCTTACTTAAATCAAAAGTGTCATATTTTGTCTAAAACTTAATCATATACATTATAATAACTGACTGTAAAATTAACCATAATAAATATGACAGAATCCAAAATCAATAACTGAACAACAAGCTTATCACTGTTTTACTGTTATCAATGTTTGGAGATGTGTTAACATTTTACTTGCAAATGTTTTTTTTATCATCACTTGAGTTATCTGGGTATTGTAATGTCCTCACCACAATGACTTTTATACATAAATACTGATGCAATTAGTGGTTTCTAAACTGGTCTAATGTTAATATCTTTCGTTATCTGACCTCAACCTCAAACAAATATAGTTGTTCCTAAATGTCTATTTCATTGTGTTTGTCTACTTTATTATCAATTTACTAGAAATTTATTTATAATGAATATGTAGACGTACTTTATTAGTTTAAATGTAATTTTATCTCATGTGTCTAAATTCAAGATCAAGTGAAACGTGATTAATTTATACACAAAACAATTCTGCAATTTACTTTTATTTGTTTGCTGCAAGCAATCACTTGCTAGATTCTGTTACATCACTTTGACTAAACCAAATTTCTATATTCAGAACTTACAACTTATACTAAAACTTATTTCTTGTTTTGACAGGTGCTGCCTCTGGACCTGACCCAGCAATACAGATAATTAAGGAACGACTCTCAAATGTGAAGCATAAAATATTGATCCTCTCTGGCAAGGGTGGAGTTGGCAAAAGTACTGTTACATCTCTACTTGGACATGCTTTAGCCTCCAGAAACCCTGAGGCTAATGTAAGTAGAACTATTAAACTGACATACATAATTAAATAATTTTGTTAATGACCTGTTATGTTAGTTGTGGCTTCAATAGAGTAGCAATGATCATGAAGTCGGGTATGTAATTATTTTTTAAAGAATCTTTTGTATGAAATGCCTTTTTGACTTAGCTATTCAGAAATTTTTAAAGCTATATTTGTAAACTCAAAATACCTACATATTCAAGATAAAACATAATTTCATTTAGACACAAGTTGAGAGAAAGTCTAGTAGGAATATACACTACCTATGTAACTCCTCACTTTTCCTTATGTACATAAATAAATTTATTCCTCTGTGCAGCCTAACCTCTGTCCTGGCTTCAGAAACAGATAAAAAACATCAACAACTCTATTAAAAAAGTTAGAATAATAGTCAATCAATCACTAGTTATCAAGGGAAGCCATTGAACCTTTTATATCAATGCACTTCAATGTACTTGGGAGACTTCTTTATGTAGCTTTGAGTAAACAAAATATATCGCAAGTGATAGAGGGTGTGGCTGACCTACAGGATAACCCTTGTGTTATCCAACGAGGTTTTTTATTGACATAGCTACTTATGCACAGAGCTAACTAGAGAAAACTGGTTCAAATTGCAATATATATCTTTTTCGGCAGAGTTTAAAGTCTCGAAAGAGCACAATTTTATCACTTAAAAACATTTAGCATACCTATCTATATACAAACACGTCATGTTTTATGTTAATAGTTTTATTTAATGACTATAGAAATGTGCACCTGTCTAATTTCACACTTAATTAAAACTTAAATACTTTTTTAATAATTATAAACTCCATTACCCTATTATATCTCGAGCGTCGTTCGTATGCGTTTCCGAATTCCATTTTCGCGGTAAATTATTTTTTTTAAATAGAAACTAAGCACAGATTACACGTGTATCGATTCCAAAGGCACGGCGGCAAAGATTTTGCAACGGTTCAGCCAAGTTGACGATGTCACGGGCTGGTACAACCTTCGTGGGTCGTATATAGGTCAGGTTTTATGGGTTATTTATTGTGGTCGATGCATAGCGGCAATGGCAACCACGAAAACATAAGCATCTATGTTATTTTGTCTATAATAACAAATGTTAGAAATTGTGCTTTTAGTTTTGGATGTTCTATTGCTTTAGGATTCTCTCCTTTGCCGATAAGTATGTTTACAAACCAATTAGACTAACACGTCATTCTAAGACTCAGAACATTTATTCATGGATCAGACGAATATTTGTATCGTGTGGGAATCGAACCTGCTGTAGATATATTACGGATTTACTGTTCGGCAGTCGCAAACGATAAAACATTAATTTTACTTTATATGAACGCTCGTTACTTTTAAATATTTAAAACCAGTGTAATGATTTTTAGGTGGGTATATTGGATGCGGACATCTGCGGCCCCAGCCAGCCTCGCGTGCTGGGTGTGCGCGGCGAACAAGTTCACAACTCCGGATCAGGATGGTCCCCTGTTGTAAGTCATTTATTAAACACACATGTAAAATGTTTCCACAGTTGATACTAACAAATAATTCGATTGGAACCCAAAACCCTTTGTTCGGCAGATACGTTTATCAAAATACTGACTTGTACATTTGTCAATTGCTTTAAATTATGAGCCAGCATTACAAAACGCTATGTCATGTTTCTATTGATATTTTGACAAATTAAAGCGACCTTCTGATTACAAATGGTTTCGTTTTCCTGTTGCGGAATGCAACCCCTCGTACTGTAAGGGTGTCATAATAAATATAAATCACTACATAGTATAAAACAATGTCGCTATTCGCCGTCTGTGTATCCCTATGTATGCTTAGATCTTTAAAACTACGCAACGGATTTTGATGCGGTTTTCTTTAATAGATAAGAGTGATTCTTAAGGAAGGTTTATATGTATAATACATGTATATTGGACCCGTGCGAAGCCGGGGCGGGTCGCTAGATAAATATATTTCCTTTATGGTCCTTTAGAAACATCCTTTTCATTAATCGACATCTATCTTCCATGATAGGTTTTCGTTATCTATTGTCGTTTAAAAAAGCTATGATAACTTTATACTGTTGTCAATATGGTTGTATAAAAGTCAGCTTTAACGACTACTAATTATTTGTTCATTATTAAAATTTATCATTACTTCCAGAAAGCTTAAATGTTTGATCTCAATCTATAAGTCGTATCAAAAATTGTTAACAGAGTAATAAAGACAAATCAGCTTTACTATTTGTCAAAAAACAAGGATTAATTAATTAATAAACTTCGAATAATTATTTATTATCTTTTAACTTATCTGTCCACAGTACGTCACAGACAATTTGTCCCTGATGTCGATCGGTTTTCTATTGGGAAGCCCAGATGATGCAGTCATATGGAGAGGACCTAAGAAAAATGGTGAGTGCATTGTTAAACTGTAAATTATTTTTATAATTCTTCCAACATATAACAATCGGAACGACATTATATAGTAGATAAAAATTATCAACTATAGGTACTAGAAATAATAATTTTTTTTTTCATTATATGTTGATCTGCAATCCAGTCGCCAGGCTATAATCAGATGTGGTGAAGTGGGATGTGGTTTTTAAATGCAACAGGCCAATGCCTACTGTCACTTATATTAAATTGACAACTTTTCACAATTTTCCCATTGTCAAGTAATTCCATGATTGGGATAGTGGGCGAGAAAGAAGGAACTTATGGGTAACAAATCAAACAACTAATTATTAAAAAAATGTGTTTCAGGTATGATTAAGCAATTTCTAAGTGAAGTGGACTGGGGGGACCTGGACTATCTGCTAATAGACACACCTCCAGGTAAATATTTACTAGTTCACTAGCAGTTATTAAATTGCACTACATTTGATTTGATTTGAATTTTTTATAAGACTACATCTTTGAGCGAGTTCCTTATTTCTAGTCCTTTAACTTCTCTACTGTAGTAAGTGTCCATGGGCGTCAGTGTCCAGTGTTAATCGCTAACCATCAAGCGATCCGTTTGCTAGTTTACCCCATGAGCCATAAAAATTCCTGTTCCAGGCACATCAGACGAGCACCTCTCAGCAGTTCAGTACCTGACATCAGCCGGGCTGGACGGCGCGCTGGTGGTGACGACGCCGCAGGAGGTGGCCCTGCTAGATGTCAGAAAGGAACTCCAATTCTGCACCAAACTCGGAGTTCCTGTGTTAGGGGTGCTTGAAAATATGTCGCTGTTTGTGTGCCCTAACTGCAAGGTACGTTTTGAATTTGTTGCCCACAACTTTACTCGCGTTACAGAAATCTTCACAAACTATTCAGCTTCGTCAAGAATCAATTTCCCTGTAAGAGACCAGATAGAAATCCAGTTATTATTTTTTTTACTTTATGTCGATCAAATAGACGTGACTGGAACTTATGGTTGTACTAGTATCTAATATTCAAGAAACTTCCATATTTGCGTCTAGTGGTGGCGCCACTGTTGACTCAAGTTCAAGATATAGTAATAGTATTGAACTAATAGACGAATTATTATGACTGTTTCCAGACCCGTAGTGAGATATTCCCGGCCACCACGGGTGGAGCTGCTCAAATGTGCTCAGAGCTAAGCGTGCCGCTACTGGGTAGTTTGCCCCTAGACCCCATACTAGCGAGGTGCTGCGATGACGGACGAGACTTTCTACAGGAGCTACCCAATTCCCCTGCCGTTGCAGCTCTACGCAGCATTGTAGATAGTAAGTCAATAGACATTTTACATAAAAATAATAATAATGCAATTATTTTGTATCATATTTTTTAAGTTAAAACTTTTTGTTACAGAAATCGTTGCCACTTGTGAAAATACCTCCAGTTGAGCCTCTATTACAAAATCGTGAAGCCTTATTAAATAAACATATTATTATTATGCCGTTATTTATAAATGACCTAGTCAATTCATATTTTACGAGGTCAGTGTTAAAATAATATTGTAAGTGTAAATGTCTGTACTTACTATTTGTAGGTGGTGCGGTGGACACAAGTTATTTTTAAAAAATATATTAGTTACATAAAATTGCATTTTATTTGATGAATCATTTATCATCAATAATTTTGAAGGAATGGGGTGGTTTTTAGTCAATAATAGTCTGACACTCCCTCCCGCCTCACCCAGGCGGGAGCAGTCATTCGATGATTTTCCCCCCTTAAAAAAATCGTGCTGCAAAAGCGCGGGCCGGATAGCCTGACACGACATTATCCGTCGTGTCATAGCCGGAGTACCAGCTGTTTTGGAACCAAAGCGCTTAGCGCGTGACGATAGTAAGAAACCTGACGGTGTGATGTGTCCATTATCTCAAGAGTTCCGATATTTAATTCAAACGAAAAGTTAATTATTATAAGCTTTTTAAATCGATACGTGAAAGAGGATTTTGTTGCGGCGGCGCGTGCCAATAAGGATCTATCCACTTCGGATATTGGCTTTCAAGGTTCATCTCAGCGTGTGTATGTCAATGATCACCTTAGCATTGAATACAAGAAACTCCTAAGTAAGGTTAAATCAACTGCAAAGGACAAACAGTATGAGTATGTATGGGTGAAGCATAGTAAAATACACGTACTTAAAAATAAATACTCTAAAGTAATTATTATAAGGAAGGACTCGGATTTAAACAAACTTATCTAATATGCTTCTTAAATTTAACCTTTCTATTTTGTTATTATATGTCGCTTCAATTTTCTCAATTTACTAATAACGTATTCACCATACTAAAAGTTACAAACTGTTTAAAACCTCTGCCGCACTGGTACCTATACACTCGAATCCTCGTAATGATTTATGTTCAACTACCTGTGATCGGTATCGCGCTGTTTACTTTAAAGCTGCACGGCACCACTATCTGTTTTATTCTTTCGCACTTGCATGCACCGCGCGCTGTTGCTTGCCTTTTTGCACAAATATTAATTATTTTATAACATCGACCAACTATTGCCCTCACACAAATTTTACTAACTTTATTAAGAACTACCTTCATAACACATATTATGTATTTATATTATACCTTAAATTGCAATATTTTTTAATGGAACAATCTATTTTAATAGATTATGCGAATTTATATGCTATTAATGATAATAAATTCAATGGCTCCTAAATTAAATATTTATTATCAAAACGTTCGCAATAAAAACTTCCCAATTTTTATTCTATTTCAGTAATCGCAAAAGTCAAAATAAACGATTTTTTCCCGCGTAAAGCATGCGTTCGAAGGTTAACAGAAACTTATAAAGAAAAATAAAAGTTATTAAGATTTTCGGTTTTCACACAAATTATAAGTATTTTATGAAAAAAAATCTGTTGTGAGAAATGTTTATCGTTCAAGGGCCCTAAACAATTTTTTATACGGGGCCCCCCTAAGGCACGCTACGCCACTGCCAGCCACCATCCCTGTTGAAGCACGGACGTCAGTTGATCTTGATGGGGTCTCGCACTTTTCGCGGAACGAAGTATTTTTCTTTCGCTAGTACGGCGACCTTATCAAACCGTATGAAGTGAGCCGCGTCCGTACCGCAAACATGTACAGCCACTGCCAATGCCTGGATACCCATCTTCTTCACGCTGCGTATATATTCCTTTAGCCTGGTTGTGATGTTGCGACGAGTTTCCGCGATGTAACTCGAGCGATTTTACTTAATTTAGTATGTCTCACGATTAGGATTATAAAAACATAGCAACCTAATAAGGTTGCTATATTTTTACGTTAGATCCATGGGGTCCAAGTGCCTATAGTTTATAAGAATATATCAATTTCTTGATTTAATAAATACTAGTAATCAATAAATAACATTGTCTATGATATTTTTTATACATTTGCAACATTGAATATCTCGATCCGTCACCGTCAAGCGATGTCAACTTCACGTGCCAAATTCACAATTTGGTTTGACAGCTACATCACAAATTGAAAATATTTGAAAAACCGGCGAATTCATAAATATTTCATCCAGTAATATTAGTTTTAGACTGCAGTGTACATTGCTTACCTTAGTTGGACGTATAGACGTGAATGTAATGTAGTGTCAGCACATACTGCGAGCTTAAATATTGCACAATAATACAGTTCGTTACATGGGCACTAGCGTAGCCTCAAGTGTTCCAAGATGCCTGGTCATTCCGCTTCTGATGAGGATAAGCCTTGCCGGGCGTGTTCAGACTTCAAGACGTGGGCCAAAAGTCAGAATAAAGTGACTTTCACATCACCGAACAAACAGGTGAGGTTATGTTTCGTAATAAATGGAACGTTCTAGTAGTGTCTCTCATGTTATCCCGGCCTGACTGAATACGGAGCTCTAATAACCCCTGCATTGTATAAAAATGTAAATTTGTTGCCTAATATTTGTTACCATGGTGACCTTTGAGTGATGCAACAGCTGATTGCCACAACTAACTATAAAGCAATATATTGTCCCTAACTATTGGTTTGTGTCTTTCTGACTTCATGAATAAATTGTACATCCACATAAACAAACAATACCAAATATTGATAACATCATACTGTCACATAATGATATAGATCAGTACTTACTGTACTCTATCAGTAGTTAATTTCAGTTTTTTAACATATTCGTTTTTTCAGCCTAGTCCACAACCCAAAGATTGTCCTCTAGACAAGGATGAGTTAGGTACAGCAACATGGGGGTTCCTACACTCAATGGCATCATATTATCCCAAAAACCCGACTAAGAAACAATCAGAAGACATGACAAAATTTTTTAAAATCTTTGCAGAGTTCTACCCATGTGAGCCGTGTGCATTGGATTTCCAGGCAGAGTATGTATATATTATTAATCACTTGTTAATTTCTCATAATAGGAAACTAGCTCAAAACATTTTTCTGTATGTTACTAAATCAAAGCTGTTATTTTCATATTTGTATTGTAACTTTCATGAGACATACTAAATAAATTATTATGTTTTCGGTTGTTATTTTCAGTTTGAAAAAGCATCCACCAAGGACAGAAAGCCAAGATGCCCTAGCAAAATGGTTATGTGAGCGTCACAACACAGTCAATGTCAAACTTGGCAAGCCTGTGTTTGACTGCTCCAAGGTGCATGAAAGGTGGCGAGACGGCTGGCTGGATGGATCCTGTGATTAACAGCCGTCTTCACAGACCAATGTTAAGTATTGATCAATAAGTGTTCTAATGTTGTTTACATCTTGCTGTAAGTCTTTGGGCCCATGATTGTGATACTATAGTTAAGTACTATATTTATTTTATACCTCAGTAAAAGATGTACAATATGATTTTTTTTATTTTCCTTATATTAGTGCTGTAAATACAACCACTGAGATGCTCAATTTAACTCTATGAAATCGATGTTGGAATGATGTAATTTTGTATTATACTGAAATATGTTTTGTTAATGCCTTATTGCAGTATGAACACATTTGTCTGTGAACACTAGTTAGTGAACATTTGAGGCTCTGAGCCAAGTATTAGAGAGTTGTAAGTAATGTTAGTTCAGTGTAGTAGTCACTGTGTATTCAAGCAATTTGTGATTTTCATTCATTAGACAGAGTTCAAATGAGTTTTTGTACAATTGTATATGTGTCAGTGTACCTAAATGTTGTTACTATCTGTTAATTTTAATATAATAATGACACACTCTATTGAGTACTATGTAGTTTTATTCTTTCCTTTTCAAATTCAATAAGACTGATCTACAATAAATTTTACTTGATATTATGAGCTCAAATCAATACAAAAGTAAGTCAAGTACCTTATCATACAATAAGTTATCTTATCTGACCAAAAAAGTTGCAAAAATACATTATAAAATGAATATGACGGAATTTTGTTGCAAATGATTAGTGGAACTTTATTTATTGTATTGAAATAAAGGTATTTTTATTTATTATATCTTCGGTAACTTTAATACAGTGGGTGAACGGTTCGTGATCTTTATTTATAGACAATTAAAACAGCGAAAAAAATATTGAAAAAACGTTTATTGTAAAAAAGATTGAAATTAATTAATCAGTTCAAATTTTCAAACTTAATTATTCGCAATCAACAGTACCTATATAGTACTATAAAACAGTGTTGTCATAAGCGTAACCTATGCTTTAAAAACAAAAGTCTGATGACATCACTGACACTTATATCACGTGTCTGAGAGTCCACTGAGGTCTCATAAACATTAGGCGTGGAATGATGTCTGTTCTAGAACTGCTTGGGTTGTTCTCATAAGAATTCCATTTCCCTCTCGATGCCGACGAACTTCAGTTGCTCGGTGGGACCATATCTGAAATTGTACATTATGTTTTAGTGATCATCATCGTAAGTGTCATCAGGTTTGCCTTCAGACATCAGAATTCTAGAAAGGACCTTTATCTTCGTACCTAAAGTAAAGCATGCCCTAACAAGGGTGTGTATGGTAGTCATAGGTTGGAGCCTATGACCACCATAAAGTCACTTATTACATCAGATATGATTTGATGTTTAATTTTGATATTGCATCACTTGATACTAAAAATGTTCATCTGCATGATGCAATAACAAAAAGATTATCTAATATTTCGTAAATTGATTTTGAGAGATTCAAATGCTGATTTGGGGTGGTCAATATTAAGCAGTATCTTATAATCTGATAGTAATGACGAAATAATGACAGAATTATATCTATACTAATATTATAAAGAGGAAAGATTTGTACCTATTTTTGTATGTTTGTAATGAATAGGCTCAAAAAGTACTGGGCCGATTTAAAAAAATCTTTTACCAAGAGAATGCTATATTCTTCCAATTTGACATAGGCTAAATTTCATTTTGAAAAAAATTAGGGATCCTTGGTAAAATTTGAACAATGTAACCGAAGGTGTAGAAAAATGAGTCTTAAAATGTCTTTCGTCGAATGCGTTGCCTAAACTATTAGCGATAGAACAAAATAATGTACAACAATATTGAAAAACATCATAATATAATGTCTACAAAAATCTCCACAGTAGCATATGCCCAACTATTGTAGTTATGTCACTACAAGAATCCAAATTTCCAAAACTAGGGGCTGCTAGTGAAACATAGAGTGAATGAATACAGACCTGTAATCAAAGAACAGTTCCTCTCCAGGTTGTATGGCTCGCTTGGCGAAGATCCCGATGCGATGGTCTCCGTTCACCATCATGACCTTCGCGTAGCAGTTTGGATTGATGGAGTGGTTCGCGAAACGAATCTTGTTACCTTTACGTGTCGCGTCCACTACAAAGTCTGTGAGACAATATAGAAATTAGGATAGCTAAAATTAGGATTTCATGCAATCAGTAGATTATTTTTAATCGCTAGAGATAAATAAATAAAATAAAAATAATAAATAAAAAAGCCTTGTATTTCCCAATTAAAAAGAAATATACATTTCCAAAAAAATAAAATAAATAAAAAAATAAATAAAGCTAGAGATATTGCTAGAGATATAAAATATTACAATTTAGCACTACCTAAATTACTGATTATCTTTTAGAGGCAGCTGTAACAAGCAGAATCATGAAGGGGTGAGGCTGAGACAATGCCGATGAGCATCATTTCAATTAAAGCTGATTTTCGCCTGAATACTGAAAGGCCAATCAATTTTAAATTGTACTTAAATATCGCGCCATCTTAGGCATTTTACAAAGAATTTGTAGAGACAGAACTACATATACTTACCGCGACTTTAAATTCAGTGGCATTTGAATATTTGGAGCTTTGTGTCGAATTAAATATTAAAAATCAACTATACAGACATGAAGCACTTCAAGCATATTATGTAAAAGCTTACCATTATTAAGATTGAAGAGGAACGAGCACATGTACTTGTCGTAGACCTTGCCGCGTCGGTCGGCCTCGTCTTGTGAGATGATCTCTCCGCAGTACTCGGAGATGAACTCATTCTTATGTGCCGCGTCCTTCAGGAAGATGCCCCAGCCAGCCACGTCGCTCGGAGCCAAGAGCAGGTGCTTGTGGAGACCTCTGTAATGGTAAATTAATTTTATTTATTCGAAATATCGGATATTAATTTTAATAAGTATTAGTACTTTCACTTTGACACTTATTAAATTAGTTACATAGTTCACAGTCATTGTAGACTTTTAATGCTGCCAAAATAACTGTAAAACTGTAAAAATACAGTTTACTGTTTTGTTATTTTGGCAGCATTATTATCACTTTTACAGGTCTCCACCCTCAGCGTGGTATAGCTACATACCCACTTGAATTTACCAAATTGCTTCAACACACTCGGGACTTTATGTTTTCTATATTTTTCTGTGAGAAGACTTTAAACTGTCAAATACCAAGTGGTCATCGGTGACTGGAACCTATTGTTCAACGAGTTCATTCGATATAATTGACTTGCTTTGTATCATTGGCACGTGACACAAGTGTAACAAACGTAGTAGCCTATGGAGTTTCTTGCTTGTTTATCTCCATATACACTTTGGAACGAGCAAATAGCTTCACTAGGGGACTGACCTACAGACTGACATTTTTCTTATTATTTAATATTTAAATATTTTGTTTTGACGTTCGAAAGTGCCTTCCTGGTCGAATTGAAATGATTTTGACTTTGACTTTTGAAAAAAAGGCCTACCTCTGCACCGAGACGTTCTTGCAGAAGACCATGGGCGGGCGCGCGCGTGCGGCGGGGCGGTCGTGGTGGTGCGGGGCGTCGGCGCCGCACGCCGAGCACAGGTCGGGGTCGCACTCGCGCACGCCCAGGTAGCACGGGCACTGCTTCGTGTTGCACTGCGCCTTGCACCGACACCCCGGGAACCGGTTCTGGCCTGCGCCGGACAACCCATTATAGCTCTACACATGTCTACACATATACTCAAACATTTTGTACATTCAAACTATTAAGATAATCAATAGTGGAGAGTGTTATTTCGTAATACATATAAACATGAAATAAATCATTCAAAATAATGGCATGAAGCCCAATGTGCTAGAATGAAACTTATAACACAACTGATAAAAATGGCTTTAACACTCTACCTCTACTTTGAGGGAAAAGAACAATTAAAAAACGTTGCGCCCACTCTAGAATTGTCTCCTGTGTCGTGTGTCCGTTTACAAACATACAAGTTCACATACACATGACACCCAGACCCAGAACAACAATTTGTGGATTACACAATGAATTGCTCTATACGATAATTGAACCCGCTACACTTTGCGCGGCAGCCGGTTACCCAGCCACAGCTACAATGTTGAGTCAGTGTTAAGAGTTTATAACAGTGTTAAGAGTCGAAATACTCAATTAATTACCAAGTTTGTCTAAGTATAAAACTTACAATCGCTGCTGCACTGGCAGAATTTCTCGCAGAAGTTCTGTGACTGTAGACACGGACACATGCTGTCACACGGCTGGTTCGGGTGGTCGCACGGAGTGTAGTTGTAACTGGAACCAGGTGCACATACACGTTATGTCCGTGTCGCAATTCATCACTTTATATTCAGGAAAAGTTTTAGACAGCTCCAAATTCAACACTTGATGATTATTGTACTGTTATACGATAAATCTGTCTTGAATTTTTAAAAGCATTGTAGTTGTTTCGGGAACAATTGAACTACAGGTAGTATGAATTCATGTGTGGCAATTTACCATAGCAAGTTTGGTAGAAAAAATAATGTTTAAGCTGTGATTTCAATAATACAATGTTGTTCAATTTTACCAACACTATTACACTGACTACTACAGTATGTCATATATACTTTTATTAAATATATTTCATTATTACATTGCGTGGCCAATATGACGACGATGAAGATACTACTCACACGTGATGCGAGGCGGAGTCCTTCTTGAGTTGTATCTTCCGGCAGTGCACGGACCAGAGTCGATGTTTCTTCTTCTTCTTGCGCGGCGGAGTCAGCTCGGCCTCCACGCGACACTCTTCCTGACCGGTGTTGATCCAGTACGTGTATACCTGGGGTACATTGTTATTGTTAGTTATTTTGTCGAACTTTTAAATAAGTATATCAAGAAACATTATCAGGATTTGCTGAGATAGAACGTCAAAAATAATACTTTTATTAAAAAATACAGATATTGTGACTAAGACTTTGGTCGACGTTAAAAAGGTCGAGAGTGTATTTTATGTGTAAATTATTTGTGAGTCAATAACAAAATAATAGGTTAGAATGCACATTACCTGCTGACAAGTCTTGGAGAGCATGACCTGAGCGATGGCGCAGTAGTTGGAGGGGAACACCTTATGCAGAGCTCTAAACATGGACTGGTCAGACCCCGTCCACTCAGAGTCTATGTCGCCTACTGTCAAGCCTGAAATGTACCATATTACACTGTACATAAGGTTTATTTATTGGGCAAGCGACATCCACTCACAATGTAGCCAGATGAAATAATACGAAAGGTCTATGTTTTTATAATAACTATCGTGAGACATACTAAATTAAGTAAAAACGCAGGTTACTCACGTGAATATACGTCGCGCAGCTCACTCTGCAGAGTGAGCTGCGCGACGTCGCCGCGACCGCGCACGCTGCTCATGAGGAAGAACCCCTCTGTGGTTCGAAACTAGTAGAGCTTTTCTCAGTATATTCACGTGAGTAACCCGCGTTTTTACTTAACGAAAGGTCTCGTTGTAAGCTTTTAAGCTTGCAAATTACATTTCAGAGAA